TTCCGAAAAATCGGGGTAGCTCAATGGAGGGGCCCGCACGAGAGCGTCGCGAAGGGAACAAAAAGCGACCTCCTCCTCCTGGCCCCAGTGAAATTTCACTCCCTTCGCCGTCAGAGCGTGTAAGGGCTTAGCAATGGTCGCGAAATCCGCGACGAACCGCCGGTAATAAGACGCAAATCCAATGAAACTCCTGACCTCAGCCACCGAGGTGGGGGTTGGCCAGGAGTTGACACACTGCGTCTTTGCGGGATCGGTGGATATGCCCGAGCGGCTGACGATGTGCCCCAAATAGCGTACGGATTCCCGTAGCAGGTGGCACTTTTGCGGCTTAAATTTCAAATTCGCAGCACGCATTTTGAGGAACACGGCGCGCAAGCGCAAAAGGTGTTCGTCAAATGTCTTGCTGAACACGATGACGTCATCCAGATAGATCAAACAGACGTTCCACTGTAAGCCAGCCAAAACCAGTTCCATAAGGCGCTGAAATGTCGCCGGAGCGGAGTGTAATCCCATAGGTAACCGGTTAAATTGGAATAGGCCGTGTGGTGTGCGAAACGCAGTCTTTGGCTTGGACTCATCATCCAATGGGAGTTGCCAAAATCCGGATAACAAGTCCAACGTAGAAAAAAAACGTGCGCCAGCCAGAGCATCCAGAGATTCGTCCATCCGGGGAAGTGGATACGCGTCGGCCACGGAGATCTTATTAAGGCGGCGAAAATCCACACAGAATCGCAAGGACCCATCGTGCTTTTTGACAAGCACTATGGGTGCTCCCCATGGACTGGTGGAAGGGGCTATAATGTCTGCAGCCAGCATGTCATCCACTGCCAATTTGACATGATCTTTTTCGGCCGGACTTAACCGAAAAGGATTCTGGCGTACCGGGGCATTGTCACCCGTGTCAATGTGGTGACGCAACAATTTCGTGCACCCAATGTCATATTTGTGTTTACTAAAAACATCGGGAAATTCCGTCAGAAGGGTGCGTAGGCCGGCACGCTGGGAGTCGGACAGATCACTCGTGCCCGAACATAGTGTGTCCATCCAACTATCGTCCCCCTCAGAATGCGGTTGAGCCAGAGGATCGGTCCCCACATTACCCATAACCGTGTCTACCACGGGGACCGGTGTCGCGTGCGCGAGCACAGTTCCCTGAGGAACGACGGCCGTCTGTACGCCAACGTTAAGGACGAGGATAAACGGGTCATCGCTCCCCTTAACGAGCGTTTGAGCGGCCACCAGATCCAGCCCGTTTTCCCCAGCCCTCGAGGGCCCTAACAGAATTCCCTGGTCCAGAACACCGGGCACGAAAGGCCGACGCAAGCGAAGGGGCACGAGCATTTGCGCCCCGGGAGGTACACGCACCGTCCGAGTGACGAACGCTTGTATCGACGCGCACGCTGCCCTTGAGGTGACAGGGGAAGGCAGGAATGTTACCCGTCGGCCCGAGGGAAGCTCGATGCAACCCTGATCAATTAGAATTTTAATCGGCATTTTGCCCAAAAAGTCCGTCCCCAACAAGCACGGAACCGCCAGCGAGGACGAGACTAATATCGGCCCGGAGAGTTTGATATCGCCAATGCAAATTTGTGCTCGAATTTGGCCTATGATACCCAGCGAACCCCCGTTCGCTGCGTAACACGGAACGGTGACTGGGAGCAAGGGGCGGCTTTGAACGGGAAGAATATTATAAATCAAGTCTGACACAATGGTCGCCGAAGCTCCCGTATCGACGAGGATACGCACCTCGACCCCGTCAATGCGACCCGCGACCACGGACGAGCCTGCCGACGCAGCAACAATGCGGTGGGCCAATTCCGTCCACTGCCCCGGCCCGAGCACCCTCTCGACCCCGCCGCCACCCAACAAACCAATGGGCGTACCCCGAGGCCCGTACACCGAAACGCGCGAGGTGGGGACAGGTGTGTGCACAGGCCGAGCATGTGGGGTGCCGCGACTTGCCGGGTTGCGATGCGGAGGCCTGTAGGCTGGAGCGCCGTCCGACCGTCCCGGCTGTCGTTGACGAGGCGCCCGGCATTCCGCAGCCACGTGGCCCTTGCGGCCACAGTTGTAGCACGTGATGAGCGCCTTGGGGTGCTCCTGGCGATCCGGTGTGGTCCGAGCCGGCCTCCCTCCGGATCTCCACTCCACCGGGCGACCCGCCGCGAAGACCTCCTCGGAGGGGGGGATGGTCGGCGTCCCAGCGCACACCGCAGCTGCGCCCTTGGGGACGAGAGGTGATCGACGCTGCGCTATCAGGTGCGCGTGGATGTGTCTTGCTGCCCGCAAGGAGCACATGTCCGCGTCGTCCTCTGCGACGATGACGATCTGTAGCTCCTGGGCCAACGCCAGGAGCTTCTCCGTCACCATCGCGTCCACCCCTTCGCCGTCCATCCGCGGGAAAGCCGCTTTTGCGAGGGCCAGGAGAGCCGTGCGATACGCCAGCGGTGGCTCCTTCTGGCCCCTGCACCGCTCGTGGAAGAGTTTGCGGCAGTCCGACGATGGCCAGTAGACTATGGTGAGGACCTGGAGCGCCGACTGTATCGTAGATCGCGTTGATCTGGGAGCTGTGATGAGCGTAGCAAGGGCGTCATCGTCCAGCATGGCCGGTAGCGCACTCAACGCCTCGTTGTCCGTCCAGCCGGCCATCTCTTGATGAGCGAGAAAGCGGCGTTGAAAGGCCCCCCAGTCGCCGCCGTCTGAAACGAACTCCTTCAACACCGGCAGGCGTTGTTGAAACGATGGCTTCGTCTCTGAGAGGTGCCGCGCGCCATTTCCGGCCTCTCCACCGGTGTCTGAGGGGCTGGGGACACCCATCGGCGGTCGCGCAGGTGATGACGATGCGCCCGCCGATTGGTCCTGACAGCGGGCGTCCGTTGGTGATGACGTCACCACCGCTGATTGGCCCACAGCGTCCACGTGGCGCTGCGACCCTCCAATCGCCGTGGCGGACACTGTCATGGCGGCAAATCCGAAATCTGGTGGCTGTGTTTCGGCGGGAATGGCCGTTGAACGGCGTTCGTCTCTCTGCCGCCTTTGCGCCCGCAGCCCCGCGCGGTTGATTTCCTCCAGCGTGGAAGCCGCGGCATACAGCAGCTCAGCCAGTCGAGAGTGAGCCGCCTGCAACCCGTCCTCCATCGGCGGCCACTCCTCCAGCGGCGGCTGCTGTTGGGGCGTCTGGGACATCCCAGGATCGTCGGCCGCGGCCTCTGGCGCAATCCCAGGCGAGCCGTCCTCCTCCTGGGGTTCCTGTGATCGGTTTGTACTCCTTGTGTCCATTTTAAGACCACTCCTGACACCAGTTGTAGTGGGTTCCAGGACACGGAGACGGCAGAATAGAAGCAGCACTATTTATTTAAACCTTAACAAGGGTTACACTAGAAGGGGTAGCGGCCCCTCCACCCGTATAACTCAGGAACACACCCCAGGCTCTCTAGCCTAAGCTCTAGGCTCCCAGTTCCTCCTGGTAGGGCTCTAAGGGAGGCTATCAGATCCGGCCCTGGTTAGGCACAGATCTCGGCACCCCGCCGACCAGACCGGCCCTTAGAAGGACTCTGACTCTGGGGCTCTGGGGCCGCACCACTGGCTTGCTGTGCCGGCCCTGAAAAGGGCAGCGGTCACAGGAGTTCCAGGGTCTCACCTAGCTGGCCTTCTTTCTTCACTGGTTGCTTCAGCCTCGGGCCCCACCCTCTGCCCCGAGCTCCCTGGCTCCCCGCACTTTATACCCACTGGAGCCTTAGCGGACGTTGTTGTAGCCACCAAGGTGTGGGTGAACCACACCTTCCCGTGTCATGTGTTTATTCCCCATAGCACCCCTACACAATGAATATCACGTCGTGGACTGCTTTTCACTTGCAAATTTCAGATTTACTGCAATACACCCGTCCTTAGACGGGCAAAAGGCTAGTGTTTTGAAGGTATTCAGACCTGAGGTTATTATTTGGTTGTAATCAGTGGATCCTGGTGTGATGGTGGGTAGAAGACTAATGTCGTCTGCATAGGAGTGATGTTGTAGTCCAAGGTCTGTTATTAGAGTGCATCATGGTTGAAGAGTCATCGTAGGATAGAGCCCTGAAGGACCCCACAGGGAATGTGGTTGTGGGGAGTGGTGGCGTACCGGTTAATGCACTGTGCTACGAACTTGGCGAGCCGAGTTCGATTCCCGTTCATGGCCAACACCAGTGACGATTATCTGGACTGGTCTTGTCTTTATGTGCAGTTGTTAAATGTGAGTATAGTGGTGTTTTTTACATCATTAGTTAACCGGATAAGAACTGTGTGATAAAAAGTCACTACGGAGCCCGTTTGAGTCTGGTGTCGTCTACGGTGTCAAAACTGCTGTGAGGTCATGGATGATTGCATTGGGTTGTGGGATCGTAGTGCATAGTCCGGTGTATTAAGGCTGTTTCTGTACTGCAGTTTGTGTGAAAACTTGATTGCTTTGAATAGAGGTTGAATAGAGGTTGTTTAATTCTATGTGCTGTTGGAATTTATTTCCCAGTATTTTTGATAGGAAGAGTAAACGACACAGGGGTCTGTAGCTGTTGGGGTTATTGATGTCGATTCATGTTTTTTTTAGCAGTGGTATGATCTTTCATTCTTAAAATGTGCTTGGAATCTTACCAATGAATAATGAAAGACTCAAAATGTGTGATTGCCAAGGTGAATGTTAGAAGAGCTTGTAGTGTAGGAAAGGTTAGCCAGGGGTCAGTATTTGTGTAGTGGGTTTAGCCTGTTTGATGTTGGTGCCACATCTTCTGGCCGCCATAGATAGTTGACCCAAAACAGCTTGATCTGTCCCACAATTTGCCAGGGATCCTTCGATATTTCACTTGGTCTCAAACCGCACCTAGCCTTGCACAAGTACCCTCGCGATGTCACTGCCACTTTGTGGCAAATCGCAGCTGTTATTGTCAAATGTTATGGGGAGCTCGTGGATGCAAGTCGTTGGGTTGTGTTTAATGGACCAAGCTCTGAGTTGTATTTTTCGTCTCCACCAGAGTATGGAGGGCTTGGACTTGACTTCTCCTACAGCATCGCGGTGGCCGAGGAATTGGGCAGCATCCGCTGTGGTGGAGTTCCCATGGCGATTGGAGTACAAACGGACATGGCTACACCAGCGCTCGCAAGGTATTATTAAGCTTTATGTATGTGTGACTATACATATGCTGACTTTAAACACTCTACTATTGCATCGCAAACTCTATGGCTCAGTAATGTAGGTGCTCGTAAGTCTGTGAGCATTTAGCTAATTATTATTGCAATTATGTACCCAGGCATGCCTCAAGGCTTTTTCACAAGGGTCCTGCTATTTTTCACAAGAGTAGGTGACGAATTCGACTTTGTTTTCCATCATTAGACCTCCTTTGCCAGTACCAAAATGTAATAGGGTTTTCCCCATTTTTTCTGGCAACAATACTGAAACCTTTTTACAAGGAATCATGTGTGCATTAACCACAATACTTGTGGTCAAATGCAAACAAAAAACACACTGATAATGTATGCATTGTCCTTGAAACTGATTGGTCTACACCACAGACAGCTTTCTTTTGAGCTTCGTCTCAATTGGTGCTAGACCAGAGGACGCCAAAAGGCGTACCATGGTGAGGGCGAGTCTCTCGTAGGACACTCACTGTTGATTTACCCACAAAATGGTACTGATTTTATCATCCCAGAAAGATGATGGGCTGAATCCACCCTCAACCGCAATTTGAATTCGCAACTTTCTGATTGCAAGCCACTTGTGCTACTGCTGGACTACCTGGCCAATTCACCTGAATTTCAGTGAATATTAGTTGTGGGTAACAGGGTCAGAGGCAAGAGGACTTTCACTGACCTGTATTAAAAACTCTGTGTATGTCCAATCAGGTGAGAATGATAAAACTGCATATTATCGTGCATGAATGCCCATTATTGTGTGTAATGTCTGGGCTTTTCTGTGTGTAGTGCAGATAAGCAGAGCACACTACACACATGGCACTGTTGGGAAGAATCATAGTTATTGTGCGTGTTGTGTTTTTTTGTAATAGAGTTAGTCAAACATCCTGATAAAGAACCACAGAGTTTTGGTAGCACCGGTGCTGGCTGCCTTCCTGTTTGTCTGGTTTCCTATGGATTAAAATAAAACATGTACACATTACATATTCTACAGCATTTTGATCTGCAATTTGCATGAATGATGCTATATACAAACATAATTCTTCATGCCAATTGGATATGTTGCTGTAAAGGGCATGGTATTGCACTATGTTAATGCCCCACCTCCCTGTGTGCCCATGGATTACAGGTTTGGTAGCGATGAGCTACGAAGAGAGTTTTTAGCGCCATCTATTGCTGGTGACCTGGTGGCATGTGTTGGTGTGAGTGAGGTTACTGGAGGATCAGACGTTGCAAGTAAGTCCATCTTATTGTAAATTGCTGCTTTAAGAGCTATTTTGGTTGTCACAGTGAAAATTACCCATCCCTACCCCTTCTGCTGTGTATGAATACTCCCACCACCACCCAAACCATCCCCAGCCTGTGTGCTGGGGGGGACCTAAATAGAAAGGGGTGGGGCATAAACAGGAAGGGGTGCGACATAAATGGTTGGGCTTGGCCTTAAGATAATGGGTGGGTTCAAAATAGGAAGGAGCAGGGCCGAAGCAGGTAGGGGTGGAGCCTAACAAAAAGCGTGATTAAAAAGTGAAAGGGGCGTGTCCTAAACAGGAAGTGGGAGGCACCTAAAGAGGAAGCAAACAGGCCTGAAAAGGAAGGTGGCAGGGCCTAAGCAAAACATTGCAGTGCTTATAGGAGGGTATGGGGCCTAAAGATAAGGGTGCATGCCCAAACAAGAGGTGGGCCATATATAGGAAGTTAGTTGTAAAGAGAAAAGGGCGTGGCCTCAACATAAAGGGGCAGGGCCTAAGGAGGAAAAAGGGTTTTAACAGTAGGGCAAAAAGAGGAATGGGTGGAGCCTGAAGGAAGGGGCTGGACATGAAGAGGAAGCCCAAATATGTGACCTCCAATTAAAAATTGAGGCCCAAAAAACTGCAAATCTGAGAATGTCAAAAAATTACAGCTTATTAAAAATAACAATTCTCCATATAGAGGAGTGCTTCGGAAATTTTACGAAAATAAAACAGAATCAATAAGTGCAAACAGCAGACAAAATGTGATTCCGCAAAATAAAATTGAATTGACATTTCACTTGAAACATAAAAAACGAAATGGTACTGATGCTTGTGCTTATACATGAGGACGCACTTTCTCTTCGATTTATTTTTCTTCTTCTTCTTGCACACGTCTTTGCTCATGCGGTCCTTGTACTTCCGGACTTTTTCTACAATGCGGTTGTTTTTGTGGTGATTTTTTTCTTGCTTTGGTTTCTCTTTGCTTCATTCTTGAACTTGTTTTTATCATATTAGTTTTGGTGACAGAGGGTACTCTTGAAAATGACTCATCCTGGTCTCTTGAGTTCTCACCTGGGATAAACAAAACAAACTTTAAACTTTAACTATTCAGCAGTGTCACAGTGTCACCTCATAGAGCGTTGTTGTGCGGGTGGCCCAACAGGCATCCACACGAAGGCGGAGCGCAAGGGGGATGAGTATGTGATAAATGGAGGGAAGATGTGGATTACGTCGGGCAGCCAGGCGGACTGGATGTGCATGCTGGCCAACACGAGTGCCGGGCCCCCGCATAAGAACAAGTCGCTGATATGTGTGCCCATGGATCGCTCAGGTGGGTCCCAGAGTTTGATTCTCGTTTTTTGTGTTCACACAATTATGTTCGATTAAGTCGTTCACTTGTAACTCTTAGAATTGATTAATATCAGCTGGGTTAAACGCGTGCTTAAATGATTGTCCATTGCACAGTGTAAACATAAGCATTGAGTAGACAAAGGCTGCTGGGCACGGTGCTTACTGCACGACCTCTTTTGTAGAATGTGTTGGTCTTTATATGTGCTCGCTAACAGCACTTTCCCCAACAGTCTGTAAAAGACTGGACGGCTTTGTTGCATGTGTAAATATGTATATGTGGGAGTGTGTGCACTTGATGGGGAGCAGAAGTAAACTAAACTTATTTATTTTACCAGGTAAGGCCCACTGAGCTATATAGCTATTTTGAAGATGCGACCTGGCCACAAATGATAGCCCAGTGAAGTGACTTATAGAAGCCAAATACTTGAAACGCGTGTTTCTAAATGTGAAGGTACAAACTGGACGAACTGGTGAGAAATCCACACAACCACAGGGAGAACATGCAAACTTCAAATATACAGGTGTCGTGGTTGGGATTGACACCACGATGTCCTGTATACCAGGCGAGGTAGTTAACATCTCGCAACCGTGGCAAGGTTATTGCATTGCACTCCGAATTCGATGGGCCGAGGTAGATTCCCGGACACGACCAACAACCGTGACGATTATATGAACCAGACTCTTTGGTTCTATTGGGTAAAGTCACGTAGGTGAAAATAAAATAACAAAAAATCACGACGTTTTGGCCACAACACAAGCGGCCTTCATCAGGTGAAGGGACTAGACTGTCTGGAGGACAGCGCTGGAGTGGAAGAAGCCACGCTTAGATCACGACCTTTAAGCTGTGTGAGAAGAAAAAGACCAAGCTCCTTGACAAAGGAATTAGCATATAATTTAGCATTGAAATGGCTCATTGAAATAGCTAAGTTAAAGTATACACATCCGCAGAGGTACCCCTTGACAAAGGAATTAGCATCGAATTTAGCATTGAAATAGCTGAGTGATTAGCTTGTAACTGGTCACAGAAATAGCTGTGTTAAAGTTAGAGCATATACATTCACCGAGGCACCTAGTACTCATCAAACAGGAGAATTTAGCGAAACACAACCATGCTCAGACATCGGACCTGTGTGCGAGCAAACAAGGTGTTCTGACAAAGAAATTAGCATAAAAAATAGCATTTGATTGGCGGATTTTAGGAAAGAGGTGGTGTACGTGCCGGTGGACTTGCAGTTTGGCGCGGGGGGGGGGGGGGGAAAGGGGGGAGGGGGAGTTTACCTATTGATGGTGTGAAAAGGGAGGATTTATAAGAGCTGCGACAGTTTGGGGTACCACTACTTGAAAAATATACTGTACCATTGAAATTAGTTTAATGTTTAGTTCGATTTAGAACATCTTTCCAATGGTTGCTTAATTTGAAACCATCCTCTCGGTTGAAATTGTGTCTGTGTTTGTAGATCTGAATTGCTTCATGAATTTAACTTAGCTATTTCAATGAGCCATTTCAATGCTTAATTATATGCTAATTCCTTTGTCAAGGCGCTTGGTCTTTTTCTTCTCACACAGCTTAAAGGTCGTGATCTAAGCGTGGCTTCTTCCACTCTAGCGCTGTCCTCCAGACAGTCTCGTCCCTTCACCTGATGAAGGCCGCTTGTGTTGTGGCCGAAACGTCGTGATTTTTTGTTATTTTATTTTCACCTACGTGACTTTACCAAATAGAACCAAAGAGTATGGATCCTAGCAGTCATGAAAGCTTTAAATCTAGAATATATGAACCAGTCCTAGGCCTCCTCTAGGGCAACTCGCTTACCCCAACAGTCTAGTCTGGTTATACAGAGGATCTTTGTATTCGTAGGGGTGTGTGAAATTATCTCTGCTCAAGTCACCCTTGGCTGCAGTGTGGATTGAACTGTGCCCAGTTGCGTGGTATTTCATCCTGGATTTGTCCTTATGGTTGATGAGTGCAATGCAGTGCAATCCGATCGCTTTTCTCAAGGTTGCTTGACACAAACTGTGGCTACTTTAGCCCAACTGGATTGCATCCTGCAATGACTCAGCCACAGTACCGGGGCAGGATGGCATCCCCAGACGAGTGATAGAGCTTTCTTTGAGTCTATGATGAAGAACATCTTGGCTTCGTGTTTATGGAGCATTTAATACATTTACAGATGATTGTGCAAATTATATCCAGGTTATACATTAACAAAGGTGTGATTGTTACCAATTCAGTGTCTTTGTTTATCTAACAGAAAATGTTTTCTTCTTGAAGGTGTGCATGTAGCCAAAAATCTGGACAAGATTGGCATGCATTCTTCTGACACGGCACAGATATTCTTTGAGGACGTTCGTGTGCCAGCCAAATTCTGCATTGGGGAAGAGGGAAAGGGCTTCACCTACCAGATGCTGCAGTTCCAGCAGGAGCGGCTGTGGGCAACGGCAAACAGTACGTGCTGCGCTCAGACTCGTCCTCTCTTCTCTCTTCTTCCCAATTCGCTTCCATAGCCGTGCACCTCTTGACCTCACAGCCCCCCTGCAGTGGGATTGTTCGCAAGGCCACGGAGACGAGGCTAGGCAGTGATGTCTTTAGCAGGGCAGGTTTGTGATGGTATTTAAATACCACTTTGGAAGAAAGATGAGTCCAAGCGTAAATAAAAGGATATTGAAAATGTGATTACTTCATTCAAAACTTCTAAACGTGTGTTTTGTAAGCTATAATTTTACGTCTATTAGTCTTTGGTTCTTTCGTTAAAGTCACGTAGGTATAAAATAAATCACGACGTTTCGGGCGCAACACAAGCGTCTGTCATCAGGTGGGAAAGCATGGTCTGCTGCTGAGGCAGACTGTTTTAAAAGGTTTGAAATGGGTGTAGCCCAAGGGTCATAAAGAAGTCTATTATTTTAGGAAATGCATATGGTGAAAATTTTGGTGTCTTTTGCTGAGGAACCTGTATAATTCACCTGCGAAAATAATGGTTATCATGATTGGTGTTTAAGGTGATGGTGGACTAATTAATGTTCAACCATCGCTTTATAGAGTAATTTATGATGCAGGTAATACAATTATTTTCTAATGAGCATGCACATAATCGTGAATCATAAATCCAAGCGATTTCTGCTCAAATGAGAATTGAGGTGGTGTTCATCTAAATTTCACAGCCCTGAACCAGTTGTAGAAACTCCACATGGAGGCAAGTTTCCATTGGGTAACCACTGTTGATGCAAACTGGTACTAATTTTATAGACCCCTGGTGGGATGATGGACGGAGTCAATGTCCAAGTATATACCCTCTACATATAGAAAATAAACACCCTTGTGTAGCCCACACACGTAATTGGGAATGGTGTTAGCTAGCACCTATTAAGGCTGGCCCAGCACAGAAGGGGTGTGTGACCAGCACCACGTCCTGCCGCCTGTATCTTCCGATTACAAGTTACTCGCTCTACCACTGAGCCGCCTGGCCACGAGTCACTCTCTGTAAACGTCAATACTGGTGTCTTGTATTTCCACTCTGCGCAGTCTTGCATCCGATGGAGGTGGTGATACAGGAGACAATAGAGTACACGCGGAGTCGTCAGGCTTTTGGGCAGCCGATCCTCAACAACCAGATGGTGCATTTCCGTCTCGCGGAGCTCCAGACTGAAGTGGAGTTGCTGCGCTCACTGCTCCACCGTGCTGTGGGTGAGTGCTGTCTGTAGCCATTTCAGCTTGTGCTTATTTACGCTGAAAATTCAAAGTGGTTTCCTGCTCAAATGTGCACTCAGGCAGTGCTCAATATTGGTCGCGAAAGCCTACGTGTTAAACTGAGTGCTCATCTGTTTACAGTCCTGTGCAAATTGTGCAATTTTGACAAATTTTGTTGCAGAGGTTGGTCTGTGTAGGATGACCTTTGTTGACCTGAGGCATTTTCGGGTTGGCAGGGAACAAAGCTGTTTGCCATACCTGCCTGCAATTAACTTTAATATTTTATTTATTTTTTCTTGTTATTCACTTCTATTTAAACTTACTTTCCGTTGTCTCTATCTCAATTGTCTTATCTTAGATTTATTCATGTTTACTCTCTTATCTTACTATTTGTACAGCTCTCCATCTTTCTCCTGCCACCTGAGTTAATGCGTGTGTTTGTGTTCGTATTTGTCCCGACCACCTGCATGTCCAATGAAGGGTCTTTGTGTGTGCGTGTATAAATGTTTTTATGTTTGTGTGTCTGTGCGCATGCCAGTGTATGTATGAGTCTGAATATTAGGGCTGCACTATCACTGGTCTGACTGGCGTATTCACCGCTCCTGTGTGCTCGCTCTCTCAAACTCTTTTTCCTCTACCCCCTATCATTATTTATTTTGTATGTATTTATTATTTTTCATCTCCACCTTTCTTTAAAGAGTTGGTCAGTCTACTTGTTTAACTATTACTGAAATGTCTTTCTCTAAAATCTTCCTTGGTCTTTTCTGGGCTGCGACGCTCACTCTCCAAAACTCATAGAATATTCATCACTTGGACAACATAACTTTTCCTGTCTATAGCTTGGACAACATTTCGTGCACACTCGATATTGGTGTACTAGCTTGTTTGCCCGTCCTAGGACGGAAGCTGTAATTTTACGAAAAAATTCAGGAGAGTTTCATTGTATCTTGTATAAATTTAATGCCAGTGAATCTGGCACAAAACTACGTCATAAAACACCTCATTTCATGTCGCTGAAGCACTGTATATAACTGACCTTCAATTTGTTCTAATTCACTGCTCTGATACTTTATTCTCTTCTGCTTTCGGTCACTGGGGTTGAATAAATTGGAATTCGATACAATATTTGGAAAATAACCGAGTAATTTCTATCTTACCATAATGTAGAAGCATAAATTTGACTTACCTTTTGTCTCAAGTGCTGAAGAAATAAATAAAGACACCAAATCCATTTCGTTGCTGCGTAGAATTATTTATTAGATTAACTTTCAAGAAAGAAACGACAAACTTGAAGCAAATTTGCGCGAGTGTACAAATCCACCCGCTCATGAATATTAATGATGGGGGGGGGGGGGCGCGGCATGTGGAGTGACGTCATGCGCGTTACACACAAACAGACATTCTTGGCTCATTATAGTAGCAATAATTCAAATTTCCACTTAACTTCACACACCTCTTAGCTTATCACAACTCTTAGCTTAGTGCAGTACAACTTCTCGAAGTCATTGACTCTGCAAGTAACTCAAAACATTAGGAAAAACATGGAATACAACTTTGAGCGATACTCGGAGCCTGTCAGCGCAGAACTCAACACTTACAGTGAGGGAAAAAAAGTATTTGATCCCCTGCTGATTTTGTACGTTTGCCCACTGACAAAGAAATGATCAGTCTATCATTTTAAGGATAGGTTTATTTGAACAGTGAGAGACAGAAAAACAACAACAAAATCCAAAAAAAACGCATTGCCAAAATGTTATAAATTGATTTGCATTTTAATGAGGGAAATAAGTATTTGACCCCCTCTCAATCAGAAAGATTTCTGGCTCCCAGCTGTCTTTTATACAGGTAACTCTTGAAGGGAGTGCTCCTAATCTCAGCTTGTTACCTGTATAAAAGACACCTGTCCACAGAAGCAATCAATCAGATTCCAAACTCTCCACCATGGCCAAGACCAAAGAGCTCTCCAAGAATGTCAGGGACAAGATTGTAGACCTACACAAGGCTGGAATGGGCTCAAGACCATTGCCAAGCAGCTTGGTGAGAAGGTGACAACAGTTGGTGCGATTATTCGCAAATGGAAGAAACACAAAAGAACTGTCATTCTCCCTCGGCCTAGGGCTCCATGCAAGATCTCACCTCGTGGAGTTGCAATAATCATGAGAACGGTGAGGAATCAGCCCAGAACTACACGGGAGGATCTTGTCAATGATCTCAAGGCAGCTGGGACCATAGTCACCAAGAAAATAATTGTTAACACACTGCGCCGTGAAGGACTGAAATCCTGCAGCACCCGCAAGGTCCCCCTGCTCAAGAAAGCACATATACATGCCCGTCTGAAGTTTGCCAATGAACATCTGAATGATTCAGAGGACAACTGGGTGAAAGTGTTATGGTCAGATGAGACCAAAATGGAGCTCTTTGGCATCAACTCAACTCGCCGTGTTTGGAGGAGGAGAATGCTGCCTATGACCCCAAGAACACCATCCCTACCGTCAAACTTGGAGGTGAAACATTATGCTTTGGGAGTGTTTTTCTGCTAAGGGGACAGGACAACTTCACCACATCAAAGGGACAATGAACGGGGCCATGTACCGTCAAATGTTGGGTGAGAACCTCCTTCCCTCAGCCAGGGCATTGAAAATGGGTCGTGAATGGGTATTCCAGCATGACAATGAGCCAAAACACACGGCCAAGGCAACAAAGGAGTGGCTCAAGAAGAAGCACATTAAGGTCCTGGAGTGGACTAGCCAGTCTCCAGACCTTAATCCCATAGAAAATCTGTGGAGGGAGCTGAAGGTTCGAGTTGTCAAACGTCTGCCTCGAAACCTTAATGACTTGGAGAAGATCTGCAAAGAGGAGTGGCCAACTACAAGAAACGTTTGACCTCTGTGATTGCCAACAAGGGTTTTGCCACCAAGTACTAAGTCATGTTTTGCAGAGGGGTCAAATACTTATTTCCCTCATTAAAATGCAAATCAATTTATAACATTTTGACATGCGTTTTTCTGGATTTTGTTGTTATTCTGTCTCTCACTGTTCAAATAAACCTACCATTAAAATTCTAGACTGATCATTTCTTTGTCAGTGGGCAAACGTACAAATTCAGCAGGGGATCAAATACTTTTTTCCCTCACCGTATGGTGCCTGTCGGCCACCCCTCATTTGCGCTGCGATGGCCGAACATCACTACAAGGTCTCCGCGCCATTGTTTACTGCCATGGCAGGTTACCCTAGGCCCTCCCTTCTCGGGCTGACATCCCAATCCGGAGATGTCAATCTGTTGCTGGTCTGAAAATCTCTTAATATTTTGAGACTGCTGCCCCAGGCTCTTCGTGGGTCTAGCCGTCGACATCTTACTCGGCCATGGAATCACCTTGCTCAAGGTGGGACCCCCACACATTTGGGCGAAAATGGCTCGATGTCAACTGTGAAAGTGCTGTAACCAGCCACTTTTCTGTGGTGTGTAACATTTCAGCCACTATCCTATCCGGTTTCAATGTCTTTGGGATATATCCCATGGCTCAATGTCACCTATGCCTCCAGAAATGTCAAAAATATCAACATCAATCTCATTTGCACCACCATCAGGTAATCTACTGCTTCCTCCTATGTAGAAATGGATGTTTTATATTTTCACGAGACAGACACTTATTTTCACATAGTCTTGAATCATGCTGCCTCACTTAAGACCGCCACAAAGAGGGTTGGCTGGCAAAGAAAACCGCTGGTGTCACCACAAACCACCATGTCAACGAGAACCCAAAGCAAGCTTTAGTGGACTTACTACTGCACAAAGTCTAAGGCTGACCATCTCGCATTCAAGATATGTTGTCGTGTGACTGCCAAGCTGACATGTGAGTTGCGTACTGGCCACCACCACAAGGCTTTGGCAGCAGCAAATTCACGGAATATGGTGTGTTTAGCAAGCTGCTACATTCACGTGAGTGTACCAGATCAACACATCACTGCCGAGTCCTTTTGCGACTTCTTTGTCACGAAAGTGAAACGTATTGTGGAGAGGGTCCAAGTTTACTTGACAACGACTGGCTCACCAACATACAGCACCTTAATCCCTCTTGAAATAGCACCGACGCTATGGACATTTGTACCTGTGCCCACGGAAGTGCTCCAGAAGATCAATTTCGTCTTGATATTTTCCAATCATGCTACTGAAGGCCTGCAAAGACGAACTGTCTATTATGCCCTCATACCTATCGAACCTCTCTTTCAGCTCCTGCACTTTCCCATCCATATGGAAGAAGTGCCGTATCACTCCACTTCTTAAAAAAAACAATCTTGATAGGTGCAAATTCGCAAATTACCAGCCTATCTCCAATCTTTCTACAAAAATAAAAAAAAGTTTAGAGTCTCGTACTGGCATAGCTATACCTTCCAATTGCAAGCTGCTCACTCTACCGCTGAGCCACCTTACATAGTGCGGTTAAACACAGTTATTATTTGCATTTTAATAAGTGTTTGCCTGAGTTAAAAAGGTAAACATGTTTATTGCTTGATAATGAAATGTCTATATGTGCAGCAAACCCATAACCACTCTCTCACCATTTATTTTTCATGTAGTTAGCGACCGTGCAACAAAGCCGAGTTTAATGACCTGGCACAGCGCGCTTACACTTGCGCCTCCTGGCTGCCTCCTCAGGCACTGTGCAGCGCGTGGTCTTCGTGCTGCTAGGACGTGCTGCCGAGTAATGCAGCTGCACATTTGCCTTGCAGATCTCTACGTGCAGGGCCACGATGTGACCAAGCTGGCGTCCATGGCCAAGCTGAAGGCTGGTCGCCTGGTGCGCGAGCTCACCGACGCGTGCCTGCAGTTCTGGGGCGGCATGGGCTTCACCAATGAGGTTTACGTGAGCCGTCTCTTCAGGTGAGCCGTATATCTCAGAGAGCTGCGTGATGACACTGCATGCCACCTTCATACGAGCTGTGGCACTGAAATATGTTTTCATTGCAGGAATATAAACCACGACGTTTTGTTTTCCCAGGGATGGCAGATTAGTTTCTATTGGTGGTGGTACTGATGAAGTTATGCTCTCCATCATCTGTAAGTACATGGGAACCCTACCGGGCAAGTAGGAACACAGCAATCAAGACCTCACATGGGCTCCATCGCAAAAATACTGATGAAAATGTATTGTACCCATAACCAAATATAAGCAAACATCTTGGAGAGCAGTTTTGTTTTAAGCCCAGGAAACCCTGTAATAACAGCCTTTCCCTGGGTGGTATAATGTGACTCAGCACCGACCTGCAAGTGGCCATTTGTGTACCAGTAAGGGGAAGATGTTTGCATGTATACAGTGAAACCTTGGATTGCGAGCATAATTCGTTCCGGAAACCTGCTTGTAATCCAAAGCACTCGTATATCAAAGCGAATTTCCCCATAAGAAATAATGGAAACTCAGATGATTCGTTCCACAACCCCAAAATACTGTATTCATATAAAAATTGTTAATACAAAATACCTTTTTATCTTTTTATTATTTAAATTGAATATAATGTAATCAAATTTATTAATTACATCTAATCGTGACTGGTGTGAGGGAGACAAGAGAGAGGACAGGAGGAGGGAGGGTTATTGTGTAGGACGACTTTCACTTGCAGTACAGTTACTAAAGAACAGTCACTACACTTGGACACAAAAAAAATGCTTTACACACACATGTGGTCACAACACTATAGTTCTGTAGTAAACAGTATACGCTCGCACGGATGTTGGACTATACGAGTGAGGCACGCCGACTGAGACCGAGCATGGGAGATGATTACCCACAATCCCGCAGCGAGAGAGAGAGAAGAACCATTGGCTCAGTTGTGATCACGTGACGCTCGGCAGACAACGCGTGTACTGTACGTACTGCTCGTCTTGCAAGACATCGCTCGTTTATCAAATGATCATTTATTTTAAAAATGTGCTCGTCTTGCAAAACACTCGCAGACCAAGTTACTCGCAATCCAAAGTTTCACTGTAATCCCATTTGAGCTGCTATGCTATGTAATCCGTTCTTAAGCATGGAAAGTAAAAAAAAATGTTGTCAGGAGGTTCCTTCGAAGTTTTCAAATGACTGCAATGTTTTGCATTCGAGTCATTTGCGGTCTCATTTTATATATATTTAAAATTTTGAACTGTGACATGAGCATACAATGGTCTCAAACGGAAACGGATGGAATGGTAGAATGCTTGAATAGGACGATAACATCTATGCTCTCAAGCAGTGAATGAGGCACAGACGGACTGGGACTTGCATGGCCCAGGAGTTCTGGCAGCGTACAGGATGGCTCCACATGCCTCTACAGGCTTTCCCCCTTTATTTCTAATGTATGGGCGGGAGCACGAACCCTCCATAGAGGCTCAACTGGCTACGGCTTCAAAGAAACAAATACAGGACGTACCCGTGCCACTGCAGGTTACGCTTGGCCGGGTATCGGAGGCACGTACTGCGGTGAGGGGAAATATTGCCAGGGCACAAGCCGCTAATGAGAAGAGCACAGGGCGGCGCAAGCGCGTGCTTCCTTGGGCTGTCGGTGACAGAGGGAAGCTGCATTGTGTGCAGGTGCCGCTGCGTGAGAGTACAAGCGGGGCATCGCCGTTGGTTTGTCCACCCATTGCGCCTCAAACCATTTTTCATCCCTGCCCAGACATCTCATCTCCATATCCTGTGCAGCCGGGGTCTGGTATATCTGACGTGCCAGGGCAGTCGTCCAAAGTAATTGTGCGACCCGGGAAGTGCATTGTGCCACTTACAGAATTCGACCCTCTGAGCCTCAGAGGCCCACAAGACTCTGCCACGTGTGATGGACTGGCGTCAAGAACCCGGTCGAAAATTTTATGACTGCGATAGTGGCTCTCCAAACCACAAAGTGGACTTTTGATTCTCAAGGCCAAATTTTTTTTTGTGTGTAGCCTACTATGGTTATTGTTGTTCGTGTGAGGTAGCTTACACCACTCACTCGTCATATTGCATTGTTGTTTTATATGGTCGAGCGACGGGTTCTATCGATGCGTATGTGGGTTGTCATTCTGCTCTAATTGTTGATTATTTTTTAGTGAGTGGACTAGTGGCCACCAGAGGTAATGCCAGGGACAGCAGTTGTGAGTATGAAGGGACTGGTGGCTACGGGAATGATCGAGAAGGGAGTGTGGTCAGGTGACGGAAGAGGATGGTAGAGTCTACCAGTCGAGCGAGGCGTGGCCTCGGTTTGTATATAAGGGAGATGCACGGGAGACTCGGGAATGTTGCAGTGGGGTCTCTGCCTGATGTCAAGTGAACGTGTTTTCAATAAAGTGCCATCTCAAGAGAAGTTTGTCAAGTCATCATTACATATACAAACACTATTCTATAACACTCTTTTCTATTAAACTCTGGGCTGCAGCACTCTACTGGTGAGGTTGTGTGCACTGTACCTAACAAGAAAGCACTCGGTGATTGAGAAAGTGGAGCACTCGTGTGTAGCCAAGATAATCTCTTTAGAGGCCCGCCAGACAGTTCCAGGTAAGTCAAGGCTTACCACGATGCACAAGCCCTCAGTCTTCACCAATGAAAGTTAGCAGCAGTGCTTCAAAGTTATTACAGTTTCTACAAGTATCTCTCCTGGGTTCTAATGGAAACTTTACTGGTTATTTTCAGACATTGTTTGGTGAGGCCGGGAACAGCACGCTCCCAGTTTCATCTTGAGACACCAGGCTTCTCCCTACCAAAAGATGATGTCACCTTTCTTTAAGATGGCGACTCCTAAGACACCTCGTGACATCTTCCAGAATATGTATTCTGCCACCGGAAGATTCTACCAAAGGAATCTACTTCTAGGGGTTATGTGTTTTAGTGTTTTTATGTAATTTATCTATTTAATTTAGCTATACAGTACTGACTACCTAGAGTCCCTCCTACCCCTGGATAGGTAGGACACTACATTGTGCGAGCCTGTGTGTTTAAGTGAGGTGACATTGGCTGGGTCACGGAGCCCGCATGCCAAGCCACCATATGCTCAGCTTGTGTTTGACCGGATAGATTCTGCTGAACGAGGACGGCACAGGCTGGATATGAGATGGGTTGATGTTGTATGAGAGTATATGGAGCTGTTTGGACTTGGGGATGACTGGTACCAGTGTGCGAGGGTTGGGTCAATCAGGGTCTGATAGGACCTCTTTTCAAGCCCTCTTAAAGCAGTTCAGCCTACCCAAGTGCACTACCACTCAGCGCAGCACAACAAAAATGAAAAACCATCAACTTTTACGAAATACACTTTAATATTTAACGCAACGATTAAACAATCACAAAACAATCATTAACCAACCCACTCGAGTCTCCCCCGAAAAGTCACCCAACTGCATGCTTGGATCTTGACTATGGACATTCTTCCGGTCACGTGCTAGAGCAGCTTACAGCTTCGGACTCTAGTGCTCTGATGCAAGAGCAGCTTGCAGCCTCAGACTCCTGATCTAGACTCAGGAGTAGCCTGCAGCCTCAGACTCCTGGCTCTAATGCAGGAGCAGCTTGCAGCCTCAAACTTCTGTGCTTTGATTCAGGAGCAGCTTGCAGCCTCCGTACGCCACGGTACTGTAGACGACGAACACCCACATATGTCAGGTTGTAGAAATGTGGAGGCCTGGGCGGTTCATCAATGGCGAACCCTCCATTTTTGGAAGTGCATGGCGGAGGCGGGGCATGACCACCACCCAGATACCGCTATGACCGGGAGTGGCCTAAATACAACGCCTGAAATACTGAACCTGTCCACACACTTCCTGTATCAAACCATCTACTCAGCTCCAGGACTCTCTGCCTAAAGGACTCTGAAACCACATGTGAATAACATTTTTCCTGGACTATCTCCCTGGCCGAAAACTGAAAAACTAAAATATGATCACACACAAGAACCCCCCTCCCCCCCACCGAAGGATCGTAACCTTGTGGTGGTGGGGTTTGTTTGTTCCAATGACCCTTAGAGCTATGTCGCCTGGAGTCTTGTACTCCTAGTAGGGTCTCCCTTGACAAACAGGTCTGACGGGAGGTTCCAGACAAATAACGGTCCAAAGAAGCCTCTCATGAATGGTTAAACAATACAAAAATCAGAGAACGTCGCCCGGACAGAGGATACCGGGACATACCCTTGGAGTCAGACCTGGGGGTGGTGTTCGCCGGCAAGTGCTTGGTGGCTGGGTAACCCACATAAATTGGTCAGGCCTAGCCGAAAATTGCTGCGTGGTGCCGTCCTGTGGATCCACCATTCGCAGGATGAAGAGGGAGGGGCACGTGCGATGCCAGTATGGCAGGGAGAGGGATGATGTCAGACTTACTGGACCTTGCCAATGGACACTAGCCATTGGGACGTGGGGGGGGGGAGAGTCACAGCTGGTGGAGGAGGTGGACAGGTACCGACTTGATATAGCCGGTCTCACCTCCACACACAGCATTGGCACTGGACCAAACTTCTTTATCAGGGGTAGTCTCTCTCCTATTCCGGAGTAACCCCTGCTGAGGGGCCCTGGGTGGGTATGGGGATACTCACAAGCCCCCGACTGGGTGCTGTTCAGTTGGAGTTTGTCCCAGTGGATGAGAGGGTCGCCTCAATGAGACTACGGGTCTCAGAAAGAAAAACTTTTAACTGTTGTCTGTGCTTATACACCAAACAGCAGTTCAGAGTATTCGGCCTTCCTGGAGATGGTGGGTGCAGTGCTCAACAAATTGCCACCTACCAGCTCCAGAGTCTTCCTGGGCGACTTAAATGCTCACGTGGGAAACGGTGGAGTTACCTGCAGAGGCGTGATTGGGAGGAATGGCGCTCCTGATCTGAGCCCAACTGGTGAGCTGTTATTGGACTTCTGCGCTAGTCACGGAATGTCAATAACAAACACTGTTCGAACACAAGGATGCTCATAAGTGGTACCAGAACACTTTGGGCCAAGGTCAATGATTGACTTCATAGTTGTATCATCGGACATAAGGCCGTAGGTTCTGGACACTCGGGTGAAGAGAGGGGCAGAGCTGTCAACTGATTACCACCTGGTGGTAAGTTGGTTCCAATGCTTGGGGCACCGACCAGATAGACATGGAAGGTCCAAACAAATAGTGCGGGCTTTCTGGGAACGTTTGGCGGAAGACCCAGTGCAGAAAGATTTCAACTTCCACTTCTGGGAAAACTTCTCCTGCACTCCAGGGGAGGTCGTGGACATTGAGTCCGAGTGGACGATGTTCGGGATTTCGATTTTGGATGCAGTTGTGAAAAGTTGTGGCCTGAAGGCAGTTAGTGCCTATCATGGCGGCAACCTTAGGACCTGCTGGTGGGCACCAGTGGTGAGGGAAGCTGTCAAGTTTAAGAAGGAGGCTTTCTGAGCTATGCTTGGAAAAAGGTCTCCCAACTCGATTGAGAGGTACCTGTTTGCCAAGAGGGTGGCAGCTGCAGCAGTCACTGAAGCGAA